CTTGTCTAAACGTTTGAGTGACCACCGCGGCGATGGCCGCGCTCGCTCCTCCGGGCGACCTCAGGGCACATCCGGGGGTGAGGCGGAGAGGACCATCGTAATATAGCGATGATAGCGTCTTCGCCTCCTCAACCACACGCCACCCCGAGATACGTCGAGCAGCAGCGGGAAACGCGAAGGAAAGATCTACAATGGAGCCACCACGCTGCCGCAAGCACGTATGGACTGAGCCCGTGTTGAGCAAACAGAGCCCCAGTCCAGCCGCCCAGTCGAGCAACATCTCACCCCTTGCGTCCAAGCCGTATCCTTAGAGTTGAAATCCCCCAGGACAATGACCGGACGAGGCAGGCAGCGGGAAACGCATTGCCCGACCTCGTCTAGAAACACTTCGAAAGACGCGAGGGGCCAGCTCGGAGGAGCGTAAACGGCCACAACCGCGGTGCCACCCCAATCAGCCGCCAGGAACCCCCGCCCACTCTCGATCCGAGAACATGGCGGAGATCCAGAACGGCCTGTCCATACAACGTCGACGGAGCCCAGATCTTCTCCACCGCCGACACTCACACAAGGGACGAGGACCGACGCCAGGGAGGGCGGCGCGATCCCCGTATGGGGCTCAACGGCCCCATCACTGACTAACCTCGTCGGCCACCTCCATGGCGCATCCGTCTGCCTGAATGGCCTGCTGACTAGCTTCAGCTTCCCCAACGTCTTCTTGCACCCTCCCCCTTTCATTTTCAGGTTGCCGCGCCCCCTTTTCTATTTCAGGTTCTGCCCCCTTTTCTTTTTCAGGTTCAGCTGACTTCTCTCTTCTTCTTACAGGTTCTGCTGCCCCTTTTTCTTTTACAGGTTTCGCAGTTCTCCTTCTTCTCGGTGGGGGCGCGCACTCCGCCGCCCCCAGTCGGTGCTTGTCCGGCCTTCCCAAGTCACTGCAGAGGGGACATTCCAGTTTGTTGCCACACTCTGCAGCTTTATGCCCCTCCTGTCCGCACGCGTAACAGCGACCGGCTTGTCGTCTCGCTGCACTGCGAGGCCGTATGTCCTTTTTGAAGGCAGCGGAAGCTGTGCATCGGGCGGGCCGTCAGCACCTCGACCCGCGCCGACGTCCACCCGTCCACGCCTTCTTCGCGATTAGCAGGGGGCATCGCACCCACACAGTCCCCATGGGGTTGCGCGACCTCTTGATTTCCCCGACCTTGATTTCTTGGGGCGCGCAATCCCCTAGCCTTGCCAGAACCTCGGCCACCTCTTCTCTCTCTATTGAATCATCGAGGTTCAATAGCCTCAACTCAATAGCCTCAAGTCTTTGTCGGGTTTGCCACCTTAACTTCGGACTCGCCGAACACCTCTCTTAGCCTTCCTGCCAGGTGAACAGCCTTGACTTTCCCCTCTTCGCCGGGAATTCCCAGCACCAGCCCTCTTGTGGCCGCCTTCCTTATCTTGAGCTCGTCGATGCCCATATCGGCGAGCTCCTTGGGGGCTACCGACTCCCTGGCCTTTTTTAGCACCTGGGAGTATGTTGTTTGTCCCCCAGGTGCTACCGTGAGCGTTACCGCTGCCGTCCTCGGCGGGCGCGGTACTCTGACCCGCTTCCTGGCTACTGGTTGGGCCGGTTTGTTACCCGTTGCCCCTGGCCTTGCCTGAGGCCGGTTTGCCGGCTTTTTTGCTGCCGACGACGCTCCTGCCGCGGCCTGCACCTCCCTCCTTGCCTGTTGCCTGGCCTTCCTGCCGAGGACCGCGGCCCATGTCTCGCCCTTCCTGCCCTGGTTGGTAGCAGCCATCAAGGGGACGGCTACTGGAGCAACGCTCCGGGCTGTTCTTCTGGCCGCCTCCGTTTCGGTGATGGCCCTCCTCGGAGCCGGTGTTGGCCGCGGTGGCGGCTTGGGCTGGGCCCTGCGCTGGGCGCTGTTGCTGGCCTGTCTCCTCCTCGTGACTCCTCTGAGCTCAGCTGATAGCTCCTCTACCTTCCTTATTAGCTGAGCTACCACTCCCTCTAGTCCTGGCGCCTGAGCTACGACCTTCTCTGGCTCTCTGGTCCGGGTGTCCTCCTCTTCTCTCGATGGCTTCCTCACGCGTGGAGGCTCCATCTGCCTCTCCTGCTGTCTTGCCCCCTGTCGCGTTGGATTGTAATATGGGGCTCAACGGCCCCATCACTGACTAACCTCGTCGGCCACCTCCATGGCGCATCCGTCTGCCTGAATGGCCTGCTGACTAGCTTCAGCTTCCCCAACGTCTTCTTGCACCCTCCCCCTTTCATTTTCAGGTTGCCGCGCCCCCTTTTCTATTTCAGGTTCTGCCCCCTTTTCTTTTTCAGGTTCAGCTGACTTCTCTCTTCTTCTTACAGGTTCTGCTGCCCCTTTTTCTTTTACAGGTTTCGCAGTTCTCCTTCTTCTCGGTGGGGGCGCGCACTCCGCCGCCCCCAGTCGGTGCTTGTCCGGCCTTCCCAAGTCACTGCAGAGGGGACATTCCAGTTTGTTGCCACACTCTGCAGCTTTATGCCCCTCCTGTCCGCACGCGTAACAGCGACCGGCTTGTCGTCTCGCTGCACTGCGAGGCCGTATGTCCTTTTTGAAGGCAGCGGAAGCTGTGCATCGGGCGGGCCGTCAGCACCTCGACCCGCGCCGACGTCCACCCGTCCACGCCTTCTTCGCGATTAGCAGGGGGCATCGCACCCACACAGTCCCCATGGGGTTGCGCGACCTCTTGATTTCCCCGACCTTGATTTCTTGGGGCGCGCAATCCCCTAGCCTTGCCAGAACCTCGGCCACCTCTTCTCTCTCTATTGAATCATCGAGGTTCAATAGCCTCAACTCAATAGCCTCAAGTCTTTGTCGGGTTTGCCACCTTAACTTCGGACTCGCCGAACACCTCTCTTAGCCTTCCTGCCAGGTGAACAGCCTTGACTTTCCCCTCTTCGCCGGGAATTCCCAGCACCAGCCCTCTTGTGGCCGCCTTCCTTATCTTGAGCTCGTCGATGCCCATATCGGCGAGCTCCTTGGGGGCTACCGACTCCCTGGCCTTTGTTAGCACCTGGGAATATATTGTTTGTCCCCCAGGTGCTACCTTGAGGGTCACCGCCGCCGTCCTCGGCGGCCGCGGTACTCTAACCCTCTTCCTGGCCGCTGGTTGGGCCGGTTTGTTACCCATGGCCCGTGGCCTTGCCTGAGGCCGGTTTACCGGCTTCTTTATTGCCGACAACGCTCCTGCCGCTGCCTGCACCTCCCTCCTTGCCTGTTGTTTGGCCTTCCTGCCGAGGACCATGGTCCACGTCTCTTCCTTCTTGCCCTGGTTGGTAGCAGCCACCAAGGGGGCGGCTACTGGAGCAACGCTCCGGGCTGTTCTTCTGGCCGCTTCCGTTTCGGTGATGGCCCTCCTCGGGGCCGGTCTTGGCCACGGTGGCGGCGGGGCCGGTCTTGGCCGCGGTGGCGGCTTGGGCTGGGCCCTGCGCTGGGCGCTGTTGCTGGCCTGCCTCCTCCTTGTGACTCCTCTGAGCTCAGCTGATAGCTCCTCTACCTTCCTGATTAGCTGAGCTACCACTCCCTCTAGTCCTGGCGCCTGAGCTACGCCCTTCTGTGGTTCTCTGGTCCGGGTGTGCTCCTCTTCTCTCGATGGCTTCCTCACGCGTGGAGGCTCCATCTGCCTCTCCTGCTGTCCTGCTCCCTGCACTGGGGCGAACACTACCTCCTGCCGTGCCACTTCCTCCACAGATCGCACCTGCTCCACCTCCATCGCTGGGGTGTCCTCCGTCGCCTCCATCGGGCTCATCAGTGCCCTCGGCGGGCTGTCGGACGCCACCACCAGTCTCCTCTTAACGTCTTCGCGTTCCGACTCGGAAGGCGACAGGACCCTTCTGCGCGTTCGCCTCACTGTTGGGGGTCTCCTATCCGCCGGCGGTGATGGCGGCGCCGGCGCAGTCCCCTTGAGGACGCTCCACTTCTTGCCTGAAGCATCGCCAGGTCCTCCGCCATTGTCCTCCTTTCCTCTTGCGCAGCCCTGAGCTGAGCTCTCAGCTGCTCTTCCGCTTCCGTTTGCGAGAGCGGGGGGAGAGCGGCTGTAGCCGCCGGTCTTGTCTCCCTCTCGCTCTCCGCCTCCCGCCTCTTCGCCATTCAGTGGTCATTCCCTCGATGCAGTTGGACGACACTCTTAGCTGGCGAACGCACGTCCCTTTGAGGTTCTTGGACCCCGCGACCACCCTGCGGATAAGGTCCGTGTACCTTAACAATTCCGCGTGCAGGTCCACGGTGGGCAGGTACTTCGCCTCCCATATCACTTCTTCCACCCCGGGAATAGGCTTGCTGCCTCTACTTGGGGCTGGTACCGGCCGGGTCAAATCGTAGGCCCCTAGCTCTTTGTCCAGCTCCATCTCGATCCTTTTGGCCTCGGCGACCCTCTCCTTCGCTTCAGCGATCCGCACATAATCGCCCGTCGTCGGTGGCCTGCCTCTTCCCCTGGAGCCCCTGCTGTCGCTCCTGGCTGGGGTCCACTCCACGGAGATGACCGAGGAGTCCGACTCCGAGTCCCCATCTTCATTGACGACCTTCTTCTTGGGAGCGACCTTCCTCTCCTTCACCTTCGGCAGTACCTCCGTGCGGCCAGTGACGGCTCGTCCTCTTCCCGTCTCGCTGGCGTCTGACGGTGCTCTGCTCAGGCGAGCAGAGCGCCTTGTGGAGATCCATCCCGTCTCCGATCCGGGATCGTCATTCCTCTTTTGTCCTGGCATCTCGGAGCTATCGTCATCCCTCTTCTGTCCTGACATCTCGGAGCTGGTTTTTGTGCTCCCTTCCATCGAGCTGACTGTCCTGGGCGGAGCCAGCACTTCGATGCATCTCACCACTGGCAGCCCACCAGTGGCCATCTCCCTTCCGGTGTTCCGGAACTTCTCCTCTTGCTCCTCCTCTCCGTTGTTTTGACTGGGTTTTATGCTGCCCACCACAGCAGTAAAAGAATTATTAGAACACGCCGTAATAAATCCCACGAGTGGGGTCGGAAGGGATGTCACACCGGGCAGAGCCGCCTTACCCGGGGTAGCCTGGATACTCGGGGGGGTCGGCAGGTACCCCCGAGGGAACTGTTCGAGACTTCCCTGTTTACCGTCTGGGCAGCCACGCAATCCTCGGCACGGTTGCCTTACACCTTGATTTCAGACGAACACGCTCGCCCCCGTTTTCACCCCTCGGCGTAAGCCTTACCGGCTTGGGAGGCCCTGCCAGGGTCCGAAGACCCCACCGGCATCGCCTTACGCTTCACAGAGACTACTTGGAGTCGACTGGAGCACCCTTTTTAGAGGACTCATACCTCAGGCAGGGGATACCGCGGCCAAATTCCGTCCCGAGGCCGCACAGCAGATTTTTTATAGAGGTTTGCTCCTCGCGGGCCAGCCGGTTAAGGCAAGCCCTCCGTTCCTGCGAAACATGGCCACAGGCTTACGGTGTGAGTCAAAGCTCGGGTCCCCGGGTCCGCTTACCCGTGACAGAGGTCCGTAACGGACCGGTGCCCCCTGAGGTCGCCGTTCTCCCGTTAGCATAGAGGCCCTCACCCTTGGGTAGCACCGGAGTGCTACCGAAGGGCCTAGAGTGCCTCTATCCCAGCGGACACCACGTGGAGGTGGGAGAT